TGAGACCTATAAAATGGACAATATCTGTTAAGGTAAATAAATCAGATATTAATCCACAGATCCCTAATGGTGTCCTTTAAATAAACTGATAAATGCCACAAGCTACATCCATACTCTTTGTTTCTAATTGATTTTCCTAAACGCAGTCAGCTATTTTATGAAAAACTACTTAATAAGAAACAATAGCAACTAAGTTTGCTTTTCTAAGAATATTTGGAGAATATTTTTATTACTACAGCTGATCATTTTTGGAAGTATTCCATTCGTAGTCAGTTCATCATTCCTCTTATATGTAAATCTAAAATGGCTGAGCATTTAATTTTGGTTGTAAGAGAAATCCAAATGTCTTCTCAGTTTGTCTACCTGGCTAAAATGTGCCTATAAAAATAAGATTCTAATCCTGAAGTTCTTATTCAGAACAAACTCCCAACAAAGCTAATGCAATGTTGGCCTCAGTACTTACTGTTGAATGTAAAGGACTAGTTTTGCATTTATATTTTTAATACTTTTTTAATTTTAATTTTTAATATATTTTTAATTATTTAATAATAATATATATATATTATTAGTCTAAACTAGTCAATAGAGCACTAGACTGGGATTTAAGATACCTGGGTTCTATTCCCAGCAGCGGCGGATTTAGCCTCTGGGCCAATTGGTCATGTGCTCAGGGGCCCCAGCCAATTGGGTGCCCCCGACCCCAACCCACTCTGCCCGCTTGGCACTCCTACCAAGGAGCAGGGGAAGCCCCCAAGCCCTGACCAGCAGGAGTGCTGGGCACGTGGGATAGGGCAAGCCCCGCGCCCCCGACCTTGCTCCCCATCAGGAGCACCGGGCGGGAGAAGCCCCTGCGCCCTGACCAAGCTCCTCAGCAGGAGTGCCAGGAGGGGAGGCGGGATGGAGCAAACACTTCCGCCTTGACCTCGTTTCCCCAGCAGAAGCGCCAGGTGGGGGGGACTGCAGGTGAAAGGGGTGGGGAGGGGCCCCCATTTGCTCTGGCCCAGGGCCCCACAAACCCCTAATCCGCCTCTGATTCCCAGCTTTGCCATGGGCCTGCTTGGTGACCTTGGGAAAGTCACATCACCTCTTTGTGCTCAGTTTCTCCAACTGAAAAGGGAAAATGATATTGATCTCCTTTGTCATTGCTTTGAAATCTCCTGATGAAAAGCATAAGAGATCAGTATTATTATTATCATTATTAAACTGAAGTTAGTTAACAGATAGCCTCCTGTGCCCCCCAATTCTTGCCTTGTCTAAGACTAATTAATGATATAATGACTCACAAAACAGCAAACACAGCATGGTGTTCATCTTTCTCTTTTACTTAAGTGTGGGAGCCCAAATATTGAGGAATCCATATTTCTCCAGTAAAAAAGAAAAGGAGTACTTGTGGCACCTTAGAGACTAACCAATTTATTTGAGCATGAGCTCTCGTGAGCTACAGCTCACTTCATCGGATGCATACCGTGGAAACTGCAGCAGACTTTATATATACACAGAGAATATGAAATAATACCTCCTCCCACCCCACTGTCCTGCTGGTAATAGCTTATCTAAAGTGATCATCAGGTGGGCCATTTCCAGCACAAATCCAGGTTTTCTCACCCTCCACCCCCCCACACACCAGCAGGAGAGTGAATTTGTGTGGGGGGGTGGAGGGTGAGAAAACCTGGATTTGTGCTGGAAATGGCCCACCTGATGATCACTTTAGATAAGCTATTACCAGCAGGACAGTGGGGTGGGAGGAGGTATTATTTCATATTCTCTGTGTATATATAAAGTCTGCTGCAGTTTCCACGGTATGCATCCGATGAAGTGAGCTGTAGCTCACGAAAGCTCATGCTCATGCTCAAATAAATTGGTTTGTCTCTAAGGTGCCACAAGTACTCCTTTTATTTTTGCGAATACAGACTAACACGGCTGTTACTCTGAAACCTATTTCTCCAGTAGATTTTTATAAACAGTTATTTTTGTCTGCTCTGTCAGCAGCCATTATTCATTGATATTCAGATAGTCCTTTGATGTAGCACTGTGGTTTTGCCTTCTTTTTTTGCCAAGTGCATATATAGACAAAAGGTGCCTGGGGTGGTGAATAACAATAGGAACCTTTGAAAATGGCTAGCCAGAAAAAGGAAAAGAAAACAGGAATGAAAAATAAGACTGGAATGTCTTTACTTTGCTAAGGGAAAAAAAGAAAAAGGTTACAAAACCCTGCGGGTGAACCAGCTGCAATCAGTCCTAAACTAAATCTCAAATATTAATCGAGAAGGGTCAAAATCTGTCCTTGTTAACACTGAAGTCAATGGAACTACATGGGAGTTACAGAGAGTGAACTTTGGATCCCAATAAATAGCGACTGTTATACTTTCTGAGACAGATCCTGCAAAGTTATTATTATTTATTATTTGTACTATTCCAGCACCTATGAGCCCTACTCATGGACCAGGACCCAGTCATGCTAGGCACTGTACAAACAGGGAACAAAAAAGACAATCCCTACCTAAAAAAGTTTACAACTGAAGTGCTAAACAATCTGCCCAAATCTGGCAAAGCATTTAAGCATATGATTAACTTTAAGCACAGGAGCAGACCCCTGACTTCAAAGAGAATACTCATGTGCTCACAGTACTTCCACAATTTGCTGGGTTTGGCCAGAGTTCTCAGCACCGGGCAGCAGCCTGAGAGCCCTATGTCAGCAAGGTCTTAGGATACTAATACCAATGCAATGATTAGACAGACTGTTTATGAAACAGCTCCCTCCACTGTTCTTTCTGAAATCTGCTCATTCCATCAGAGGAATCAACGCTGTTTTAGCTCAGTGACATACATACATTGTGCAGGATTGTGCATGGGGTGTCAATTCCTTTCAGCACAGCTACTGCTTTTCGTCTCTGTCCCACAGGTGCTGATTTAGCATGGTAGGTGCTGCGAGGCCCAGCAGCAGCTGCATGGAGGTATTACAAACGATTTGTTTGAACAAAACCTCCTGCTCGGTTTGAGCCAGCCCTGTGCTACAATGCAAAGCGGTGATAAATAATCTGCTATACTCCTGTTATTTCATCAGTATTGGGAACATACTCACTCTTTTCACCCTGTATTCCCTAAAACAATTCTTTCTGGTAGTGCAGAATACTTATTTTTTCTTACTCGTGACATAATGGCTTTTTTTGGCCATCTACTGTAAACCTCTTGGGATGCTGGGACCTTGAAGACGGTGTTCTGACAGGTTGTTCAGCAATCCGTATCACTCAGATGAAGCCTGCTAACATGAACAAATAACGGTGTCATGCAGGTGAAGGAAGAGAAAAGGGGAGGAAATCCAACAGCCTCTGCAAATGTGTTTTGGCTCCCAGGAAGAGAAAAGTGCCACGCTGGTCTCCATGCAGCTTAAGTCAGTCCCTTGCTCGCTGCTTCCTCCAGTCCACTGAAAAGGAAGGTGGAGGGACCTAACATACTATCATGGATGTTAACAGTGCCCCATACTCATTAGGTTGCAGAATTTAAATACAGAAACCAAATAAACCAAAAGAGAGAATTTAAGTTTGCAGTTTGGAATAGTGATCAGGTCATCCTCAGTGTTTTGGTTTTAAACCTACTCTTTTAATAACCAGTATTACATTCAGTCTAAGATTTTCAAACCAGGTGCCTAATGCTACTCTTCTATACCCCCAATAAGGCACCTACCCAAGTCTCCTCATTTTAAGAGGTGCTGACCACCCTCAATTTCTATTGACTGAATATTGCAATTCAGGCCACTTATTTATGCACTTATTCTATTGCAATTCAGGCCACTTATTTATGCACCTAATTATAGACTGCTATAATCAATGGGCCAATGAAGATGGAGACCAAAATTAGAAACTTTTAGCCAAGTTCATTCTAACTTCAGGCAAGATAACTCTTAAAGACAACCTGTCCTAGCAACACTTGAAAGGGAAAAAACAACACTATCTCCAGCCTTTTCCTCTTCTGCTGCTCAGATATAAAGCATCCTAATATGTTCAGAAATCAGCCTGCTTAAACCTGATGCACTATAGCCCTGCATTATTCCAAGGCCTAATCAAGATCACAGCCCCATTCAGACAATGTGTATTTACTTCACATTAGCACCCTGAAGCATGGATCAGCATCAAGGTCCCAATGTGCTACGAGCTGTACAAAGCTCCTATGTATAAAATACCTCAGATCCTGCACTGAAGAGTTTATAATCCATGTGAAGGTAGTGACATATAAGGGTGGAAGGAGAGGGAAAGCCATCAATATGTTTTTGGGGTTAAGGAAGCTCTCTCTCTCCCTCTTAGAGACTTGAAGATCACCTTCTATATTCCCTCATTTTACATGAGGACACGGAGACCATATTCTCATACTTCTCAGATGCAACAGGACTCAGTTCATAAAAACACAAGAGCAGCCATACTGAGTCAGACCAATGGTCCATCTAGCCCAGTATCCTGTCTTCCAATGGCGGCCAGTGCCAGATGTTTCACAGGGAATGAACAGAACAGGGCAATTATCAAGTGACCCATCCCCTGTTGTCCAGTCCAGCACCTGGCAAACAGAGGCTAACAGCCATTGATGGACCTGTCCTCCATGAACTTACCTAATTCTTTTTTGAACCCAGCTATACTTTTGGTCTTCACAACATCCCATGGCAACGAGTTCCACAGGTTGACTGTGCATTGTGTGAAGAAATACTTCCTTTTGTTTGTTTTAAATCTGCTGCCTATTAATTTCATTGGGTGAGCCCTGGTTCTTAGGTTATGTGAAGAGATGTATCATACTTTCTTATTCACCATCTTAACACAATCCAAAGCTCATCAGTGCTAGTTCTTAATGCATAAGAGGTGTCTTTCTTGAGCACCTCCTTTTGTGCCTCTGAGCTAAATGAAAATCATATGTAGGCTTCCTGCACAAATCAATATTAGTTAACTACAACACTTCCTGAACTCTTCAGTGCAGTAATTTTACAGATATTCTTCAAAGATACCCAACAGTCTTACCTGCGTCCTGATAACCGATTCTCATTGTTTTTGGGAGATCTTTCTCTCTTCTCTCTTTCAGTTTCTGAATGTCTGTGAAGAACATTTAATTTGATGGTTTTTTCACTGGTGTCTATATCAGAGCTTGCCATTGGTTTCCCTTCTTCAACCTTGGTTCTTTCTCTTTCCGATAAGAGTTTGGAAAGTGGATCAGCTGTGTCTTTGGGCGTATGTCTTAGCTTCTCACTGACTGAACTTGTGTATGAGTTTGATGAAATCTTTGATGAAAATTCCATATCTACTTTCAGAGCACTGGCATTGTGTGATGAAAGGTAACTCACGGACTCTGTGGAAGTTCCTTTAATCTCTTGAAAATCACTAGCTGGCATCTCTGAAGATTTTTTCTGATGATCTTCCCCTTTGAATTGCATTGTGCTATTTATGCCAGAGGATCGTTTCAGAAGCCTCCTTTTTACTAAATCCTAGAATAAGTTGTAAATAAAGAAAATACCAGATTCAATGTTCAGCCTTTTTAAACAAACACACAAGAAAGCAGAAGCCCCTATTAGTCTAACTACTGGGATATGCAGTTTATTCTGTTATTAGGGATGGGGGAGAGCCTGTTTGGATAATAACAGTAAGAACTGACTTGCATCTTCAACCAAAATTTGGCCAATATCAAGCCAGAACTATATGGTAAGTCACTTGGGGTGGGGTCCACCTGGCCCATGATTAGTGCTACTTGGTGCTACAACATAATAAATATATAAATAAATAAATAATAAGGATCAACTTTTTTGGTGTCTTAATTGTTGTGCATTTTCAGGCACTCCTTCTTGTCATCCAGGATCAGAAATGAAATAGCTCACAAAAGCTTGTTGTTGAGGTTTTACCCAGCTCAGATGAAACCAGGAAGTACAGGAAAGTATCCAGTCCTATTTCCAGACCAAAGTGGTTTAGACAAGTTCAGATACACACACAAACTTTTACGTGCATCTGAGAAATTACTCAAACTGATCGTATGAGTTTTTCCATTGCTAATGATCATAGGTCCAACTTTACACTCTTTACTCAGGCAAAACTCCCATTGACATAAAAAAACAGAACAGGGAGAAAAACCAAAAACATGAATCTTGGTGCTGGTTTTCAAGAATACTCACTGAAACAGTAAAGTACAAAACACATGAGAATGTTAGTTGAAGTTTAATTGCTGGAACCAAGAACTGTTGTTGATTTAGGCTGGGGTTTCCAAAGAAATTCATTGGGATTTGAGTGCCTAACTCCCTTAGGTACCCTTGAAAATTCCAGTCTTAAAGAAATAAAAGGTAATGAGAATGGAAAATAAACAATAACTATACATGGTGTAATCAAAGATCAGAGAGTTGCATAGGTTAGTTATTATACAATGTGATGATTGCTGATGGTTCTAAATCATCTAAAAGATTTCCTTAAATTACTAACTATAGTTGCTTCCTTAAATTACTGCTCTGTAAATATGGTAATTTAATATACAAAAACAATCTGCATGTTATATTCAAATGTCTTTACTAGCAAATATAATGTAGAAATCTATAACTCTAACCCTCTATTTAATCTCTCTAGAAGTACAGGAAAGCACCTCTTGTGAACTTGCAGTGGGTCCAGCCATCATTCCTCTGACAATGAGACTAGACCTGGACTTTTGCTTCTCTCTCATTGTGGTCTTCATCTCCTCAGAAGTTTCTGTTATTTTCAAATCATCTCTGCTATTTTTTAACTTTTTATCTCCTTCAGAGGATGAGCCACTATTGGGTTCTACCACAGTCTTGGATTTCTCTCTTTTATGTTGATGTCTCTTCGATGGAATGACTTTATCTCGTGGAACATCAATGTCATATCTACAAGGGAAGAAAGGTATTTAAAATGAAATTATACACAAATACTATCAATAAAAAATTACAATAATAACGTGGTTGAGTTACTTGTGAATTATCTAGCAATTATATATGACTATGATAGCTTATCACTTAAAATGTCTACATACAGCTCTTCAGTTTTTAATCCTGCACTTTTTCTGGAATGAATTATAAATTAAATAAATCATTATTTTAATTTTATGATATCTTAATGTGCTACATACCATATCCTAATGGAGAAAGTATGTATAAAATCCTAAATAGCTTTTAAACCATTAGCTGTCTTCAGTGAGAATTAATTTATTATTATTTCTTATTTGTAATTAGGGTTGTCGATTAATCATAGTTAACTCATGCAATTAACTCAAAAAAATTAATCATGATTAATCAATTTTAATCGCACTGTTAAACAGTAGAATACAAATTGAAATGTATTAAATATTTTTGGATGTTTTTCTACATTTTAAAATATATTGATTTCAATTACAACACAGAATACAAAGTGTACAGTGCTCACTTTATATTATTATTTTTATTACAGATATTTGTACTTTAAAAATGATAAACAAAAGAAACAGTATTTTTCAATTCACCTCATACAAGTACTGAAGTGCGATTTCTTCATCGTGAAAGTGCAACTTACAAATGTAGATTCTTTTTGTTATATAACTGCAACTCAAAAACAAAACAGTGTAAAACTTTAGAGCCTACAAATCCACTCAGTCCTACTTCTTGTTCAGACAATTGCTGAGACAAACTAGTTTATTTACATTTGCAGGAGATAATGCTGCCCGCTTCTTATTTACAATATCACCTGAAAGTGAGAACAGGCATTTGCATGGCACTTTAGTAGCCAGCATTGCAAGGTATTTACGTGCCAGATATGCTAAATATTCACATGCCCCTTCTTGCTTCAGCCTCCATTCCAGAGGATATGCTTCCATGCTGATGATGCTTGTTAAAAAACTTCTGCATTAATTACTTAATGACTGAACACCTTGAGGGAGAATTGTGTATCTCCTGCTGTTTACCCACATTCTGCCATATATTTCAAGTTATAGCAGTCTTGGATGATGACTCAGCACATGTTGTTTGTTAAAGAACACTTTCACTGCAAATTTGACAAAATGCAAAGAAGGTACCAATGTGAGATTTCTAAAGATAGCTACAGCACTCAAACCAAGGTTTATGAATCTGAAGTGCCTTCCAAAATCTGAGCGGGACAAGGTGTGATGCATGCTTTCAAGAGTCTTAAAAGAGCAACACTCTGATGTGGAAATTACAGAACCGAACCACCAAAAAAGAAAATCAACCTTCTGGAGCTGGTATCTAACTCAGATGATGAAAATGAGCACGCGTCGGTCTGCACTGCTTTGGATCGTTATCAAGCAGAACTCATCATCAGCATGGATGCATGTCCTCTGGAATGGTGGTTGAAGCATGAAGAGATATATGAATCTTTAGTGCCGAATACAACAGTGCCATGTGAATGCCTGTTCTCACTTTCAGGTGACACTGTAAACAAGAAGAGGGCAGCATTATCTCCTGCAAATGTAAACAAACTTGTTTGAGTGATTGGCTGAACAAGAAGTAGGACTAAGAGGACTTGTAGGCTCTAAAGTTTTACATTGATTGTTTTTGAATGCAGGTTTTTTTGTACATAATTCTACATTCATAAGTTCAACTTTCATGATAAAGAGATGGCTCTACAGTGCAATGGAAAAATACTATTTCTTTTGTTTTTTTACAGTGCAAATATTTGGAATAAAAATAAATATAAAGTGAGCACTGTACACTTTGTATTCTGTGTTGAGTAACTGAAATCAATATATTTGAAAATGTAAGAGAACATCCACAAATATTTAAATAGATGGTTTTCTATTATTGTTTAACAGCGTGATTAATCGTCCCTGCCCCAAAGAGCTTGCAATCTAAGTATAAAACAAGACAGATATAGCCAGAGGGGGGAATACCAGGAAACAATGAGGCAAAATTGGTCAGCATGATGGACAGGGGTCGCAGCAAACCAGCAGCCTAACCATTGCCATTCCTTCAAAGCTTGCCAAGAGTCTCTCATTTGGAATGAGACTCACTGATTTTGGATTAAAGTTAAGGATGTTTTTAAAGTATTTCATTCTTATGATTTACATTTTGTAATGTGTTTCTGTGAGGCTTAGATTTTTGTGTCTTGCTAATATTACATTGCCAAAAGTTCTGACTCCTTATTTAAACATAGGATGTGCAAGAATACTATATGGCTCTCATCCTGCAATGACTTATGCAGGTGCTTATCTTTATGTATGAGTAGCCACATTGAATTCAATGGGGATTGCACTCAAATTGTAAAGTCACCCATGTACGTAAGTCTTTGCAGGATTAGGCCTTAGTCTAGTATCTGGTTGATAGGTGAAATTCTGGCAAAACTCCTATTGACTTCAGTGGGGCCAGAATTTCACCCTCTAACTTTAGCCAGTTCCAGATGATTCACAGGAAGGTATAAAACCCCATAAAGCATCTATGGTAGGGGCTCTCAAACTTCATTGCACTGTGACCCCCTTCTGATAAAAAAAATTATTACATGATCCCAGGAGTGGGGACCGAAGCCTGAGCCTACCTGAGCCCCGCTGCCCCAGGTGGGGGGGGGGGGGCAAAGCCAAAGGGCTTCAGCCCTGGATGGGGGGTGGGAGGTCTGTAATCTGAGCCCTGCCACCCTGGGGTGAAGCCGAAGCCTGAGCCCTGCCACCCAGGGCTTGAAGCCCTTGGGCTTCAGCTTTAGCCCCAGGCCCCAGCAAGTCTAATGGCAGCCCTGGCGACCCCATTAAAACAGTGTCACGATGCACTTTGGGGTCCCGACCCACAGTTTGAGAACCTCTGATCTACAGTATTGTGCAACCCAAATGGTATATCATGGGGGGATTGTACTTCGTGACTATAGTTGGTGAGCAATTTATGCCCTGATGCATGAGTATTAGTACCAATATAATTTGTATCCCAGCTAATGTAACTGCAGAGGCTAAAACATTAAGTGGTTAACATGTTCATATAAATATCTAACCTTTTAAACCTTTTTTTCTAATTAACTATTTTCATCATTAGGATCCTTCAGCAGCAAGTTCCATGAAGTTAAAAAATATGTTGTGTTATAAAATATACCTTTTAATTAAATAGTTAAACAGTTGCTTTTTAAAAGCAACCAAAATATTGCGCAATAGGGAAGGGCACAGTATACAGAAAGGATACATGGAAGTTCTAGAGGTGCTAGGGACAATGACTTGTGAACCAGGGCCATGCAACTCTTGGCTGGCAAAGGGCACAGTGGGCCTGATTTAAAAGGTATTTAGGCACCGAATAATGCAGATAAGTGCCTAGTGGGATTTTCAAAAGCGCCAAGGCACTGAAGCTCCATGGGTGCCTACGTGCTTTTGAAAATCCCATTAGGCATCTATCTGCAACTTTAGGTACCTAACTACCTCTAAAAATCTGGCCCATGTGTGAAATGCTGGGGCTGTTTTTAAGAGTTTGTCAAAGCCTCTCTAAAGGCTGTGAAGAGGTAAACGTATCTATAAGAGATGGTTATTAGATCATCACTCAAGGAACCAGCGCTTGGCACAGAAAATCTAATTCTCATTCTGTGCCGTCTCACTTTTTTTTTTTTTTTTTAATTTTCAGGAAGGCTGAAATGAGGACTCATCTCAGGCACTGGCGTTTTACACTGTAATTGCACCATTTCTCCTCTGGCTGCTGCGGGCTGACTTGGTTACGGGGGTCACTGGAGGTAGCATACTCCAGCCACACTCCTTCGTGCCTGGACATTCTGTGGGGAGTGGAGGGGCTTAACATAGCCAGGTGGGCAGTCCCGCAAGCCATTTCTTGTTACGGCAGCTTTGCAGCCCCTCTGTGTTGCCAGAGCATGGGCCAATATGCATCCCACTGTCCCCACTGACAGAGATCTGCAGCCCCATTGGTATTAAAGATGGGATGGAGAAATCCCCATCTTTACTCACATCCCGTCCAAGGCCACTCAAAGGTAGGAATGAGATCAACATACAAATGGGCTGAATCTCAGCTGGTGTAAATTGGCACAGCTCCATTGCAGTCAATAGAGCTACACTGATTTATACCACCTGAGCACAAACCCACAATGTATGCCTCTATGGCACACCCACTCAATTTACTTTCTTCCATTCCCACATGCATCCACGCTCAGCATCGCCAACCCCAAGCATGCAAGAATCATGAGTCAGGCAATCCAAAAAAACCCCACAAGCCTGGCAAAACAAAAAACAAAAACAAACCATCATTATTTTTTAAGTGAATACATTGTGTTATTTTTTCTTTGCCTTCTGGTTTCTGAGCTTTCAGAGTACACCGGGGTCATGTCATCAAGCTTATCTCTGCACCCACAGTGGCTAGAAGTGTAATCTTTCTGTAAAGAAAGCTAAGTGTCTCAGGTAATCACTTGACTCCTGGAGCTGGGGCTTTTTTAAAAAAAGCACCACCTCCTGTGAGAGTTGGCAACTCACCTTTCTCAAGCTACCTTTGGAGCAACAGAGAAGGGGGGATGAGACCAGGCATGTCAGTGGGGTCACCCCTCCCCTGGCTGCACCCTGAAACCCCACCATATGCTACTGGGGAGGGGAGAGACGAACGTGGGTGTGCCTCTTTAAAAACAGCTGGGCACTCCTCCCTGCCCTCCTCCGCCAGGGAAACACTGCGCAAGCCCAGCGACTAGGGCTGTCCGGCTTTGGAGGGTGAGGGTCATAGAGTCCCACCGAGGCACAGAAAGAGAGTAAACCTGCGCCATCACACTTCCTGCCAGTCGGGGCCGCCCTGCGTCCGGAGCGGAGAGCTCGCTGGTCAATCATTCCTGCCTCCTTGCGCGCGCGCGCGCGCGCGGCGGGGGTGGGAGAGAACGGTCGCCTGCTTCATTGCGCCTGCGCGACGGAGGTGTTGAACGAGAGCGGAGCGCGCAGGTTTCAGACGCGCCCGCAGGGCTCGAGCTCCCTGGCTGCTCCCGCTGGCGGGCAGCCCGCCTGTGGGGGAGGGGGAGAGGAGCTCGCGCCGCCTTGTTTCAAACTGTCTCACTGGGGGCGGGGGCGATGCGGGGGACGCGTTTGCTTTCAACATCTCTCTCCCTCACACTGCTGCAGACCTGCCGTGTCTGTAGGGCTCTTCCCTCATTTGGGGTGAGGCGTCATCGCTGGCTGAGAGGCGGCTGGGCAACATGCTTAAAAATCCAGTTTGTTCAGCCTGCCCGCGCATTGACCCTGCTAAAGGAACCAAGAGTAAAGCACCGGCAGCTACAGAGGACTTGAAAGCCATGGGAGCGAGGGGCCAAGCATGTTTCAGATTGCCAGAGCCTCTGGGCCTTCAATTGATCTAGCCCAGGGGTTCTCAAAGTGGGGGTTGGGGACCCCTCAGGGTTTGCAAGGTTATTACGTGGGTGGTCACAAGCTGTCAGCCTCCACCCCAAACCCTGCTTTGCCTCCAGCATTTATAATGGTGTTAAATATATAAAAAAGTGTTTTTACTATATAAGGGGGGTCCACACTCAGAGGCTTCTTAACGTGAAAGGGGTCACCAGTACAAAAGTTTCAGAACCACTGCTCTAGCAAATAGAAAAACCTGCTTCTAAAACTGTTCAGTTGAAGCATAATATCTAGCATAAACTAGACATAAACATCTGAACAACAAAGGGACATTAATATTGAAAAGTAAGTCATAGAAAGCATTTATACAAGCTCCACACTGCAGGATATACAGTTGGGTAGAAATGGGCTTAAAATACTTGGAAGTTGTTAAATTAGTGGGGATGAAACAAATACTATCATGCCTTTTTTTATGGTTCTGATCCTATGTACTCTATTTCTAGTTACAGAAAAGAGAATGTATTGCCTAGAGATTTATCACTACTTCAAGCAGTGGTGGGCAACCTGTGGTAATCTAATTGTGGGCCATGAGACATTTTGCTGACTTTGACTGTCCGCAGGCACGGCCCCCCGTAGCTCCCAGTGGCCAGGAACGGCAAACTGCAGTCACTGGGAGCTGCAGGCACAGCCCCCCCCGCAGCTCCCAGTGGCTCGGAACAGCGAACCGTGGTCACTGGGAGCTGCGGGGGGCCGTGCCTGCGGACAGTCAACGTCAGCAAATGTCTCACGGCGTGCTATCAGATTACCTTGATGGACTGGCCGCAGGTTGCCCACCACTCATTTAAAGGCATGCATTCATACTGAACTTTCTCAAACATCTGGTATAATAGCTCAGAACCCCTTGTACAGCAGAATGAAGATGTAGGCTAGAGAGATTGTCAAACACCAAGTATGATAGCAGAGGGCACCCTAAGACAAATCTCAAGGAGCACATAATTAAGAAGATGGTCTCAATTTAGAATATATTTACCTATATTGATCATAGTACCCCTTTTAATAGTGTGGCAAGTTAAAGGCACCTAAGAAAAGGTGACAAAACTGAATGTAAAAACTGAAACCTCTTTATATTTGTAATTTTGAATGTAGGGATTAGACTGCATACATACTTACATAAAGTAAAATGGAACTATACCTGTAAACTTCAGTTTTACTTGCATCAGACACAGTTGTTCTGCCATGCATGTCTTCATCTGAGTAGTCATTAACTAGTGATGTTTCTATACACCTAGACTGTGAGCGCTTAGCTTGTGGAACTGAAGCTACAGGACTTGTGATGCATCTGGTGGTCCCAAAATGTTCAAGAAAATAATTGGTGATAACTTCAAGAATTGTTTTCAGTGGATTCTCCTTTGCCTGGAGAGGAGGAGGAGGGAATACGTTGCTTCACAACTATTGAAAGTCTCCAGTTAACTTTAGTTAAAACAGAAGATTGAGAAACATTTTAGTTTTACAGTGCAGCAATTTAAACCGGCTCATGGTCTTTTAGGATGCACTGAGGGGTTTTGCAGATATAAAGTCATGTTAGTTCATAAATGGTATGATTCAGGAAAATATTAAGGAATGTTGAGTAGTCAGAGATCCAGTTTATTTTACACCTTAAAGATTCTTAAAGAGTCAGAAGATTAAAACAGAATAGGCAGACAGTGAAACAAAACATTCTTTCTCCAGTCCTTTTTTCTTGGCTTCATATTTAAAAATATTTCTTAATACAATATCCAAAGAAATTACTAAAGTGATATGTTTATTCCAGTAAGAAACTACTCCTTGGGAAACTGACCATAGGGGATTGAACTAACTAGAATATTATACATGCAATAATAACTCAAACTTCTGATTTCTGTTCTGTTTTTCTGGCAAAAAAAATCTTTAGTTCTGCAGCTAGCATTAGCTATCCAATTAGATACAAGTAAATGTAATCATGCATGTTGAACTACATTTCTCAAATGTTGGTTTTAAAAGAAAGTCAGAAATATTGGGTGTCAACCACTTCTGTGTAAACGTAACAAGGAAAAGGTACTGAACAAAACATATGTCCTTCGAAACCAGTAAAAAACTACCCTGTGTAACCGTACAAAGCTGAGCATTAAAAGCAAAACCAAACCTAACATAACTATGGTTATACCAGGATAATTGCCACTCATTTTACATAGTATATATTGTTCGAAAGTATCCTAAACCAATTTACATGTGTACCATTTAATGTTTCCAGCAACATCTGTAGTTGAACAAGGCTACCACATACAGAAGCACAATACAGTATTTTGGGACAAGTGAAGTAGCTGAACATGATATACCCATAAAAATGCAGGAGAAACTTGGGTAGGTAAAATTACCTGAACTGAAATATAGTTAGGACAGCAGTGCTAACACACCTACTCTTACCGAAAAATAAATAAAAATGTATTGTCTACAATGCCCATAAGTGGCAAAGGCTTAGTTTTACAAAATGTTTTGAAAGCATGATCTGATAACAGTGCCTGTAAAACCAGGCAATGTTGCATTCTTGTTCAATTCTCACTCAAGATGATGCTTACTATCCATTCTGTCTGGGTTAGATTCTGGTGTACAAAAAACTTCATTTGGAAAATGGGTACACTAAAAGTGAATAATCTCTGATGGAAAATTAACTGCTCCCTACTCTAAATAACGTTTATGTAGACTGAAGTTGTAATAAGAGTTAGTGTTCCATCTCCAGCCCTTAACCTTGTGCTATGCAACTTACACAACCTCATTACCTCAGCCCCTCCTTAAAGTCAAAATGTAGATCAGGTCTATTCTTTACAACCAGAAATGGGAAATGACACGTAGTAAGTCCAGCTAACAGTTCTTTGCACTTTAAAGTAACCCCATAATGATGATTCTTGTCTGACCAGTTTTTTTAAGATTGCTTTTAACATGTAATAACATACAACTGTTGGTGATGCTGACTTCTGGCACTTAAGTACAAAAGTGAAAATTCCCTTACCTTGTTTTCTTTGTACAAAGATTGTAGATGCAAAACATTTCGCAGTTCATTTCTATTGTTGATGCTAAGTGCAGTACGTGGAAATTCTCTGTCCATAATGGCACTTGTCTTTTTTAAACCCTCAAGGGAAGAAATGTCAATTTTAGACATACCGCAGGAAACTGTACAACTTTAAAGTTTACAACATCTTTATTCAATAGGTCATACCTAATTTGAAGCTTGCTATAATTGCTACAGCACATACAGCAGTGGTGCTTAAACTTCCTACTATTGTCTTAGATAATTTAACTATTGCTATATTATCTAAACTTCTTTTATAATTAATCAAGGGAAGACTGCAAACACAATGGTTACATTATCCAAGGTGATGCTTAAAACATGGCTACAGTACTTTTACGTCAGGAATAAAATCTATATGCTCACAATATATAAAAAATCAATAAAGCTTGGTTATGAAATATGTACACCAGTGGCTTGACTTTTTCATAGGTGCTGAACTTCAGAATCTCATTAATATCTGATTGGGCAGCCAATATTACCAGTGAAAACTGGGCCTGTTGTGAATATAAATTCCCAGAATAATTAGGCAGCAGTTGAAAATCTTTAAGAGGATGCTATGAGTTTATAACATGTATCTGAAACAGTAGCTTATGTTTTTATAATCTAAACACTTCCACTGATCAGGTCTCGTTATATTTGTAGAAAACAAAGCTGTATTGTATGTTCAAAGGTCAATCAGGCATGCATGACATCTGATAATGGCTGTCTGGAAGGCCTCGTATTCCTCCTGTGTTGCACAAGCTGTTGGGTATTTTCAGAAAGTATTTGACCATTAATAAATAATAACTTGAATCTGCTTTGTAATGTATTATCTTTTGTCGAACATAAAATGTTGGGCTTGATCTGAAGAGACCTTAAAGCAGGCTAAAAACCAATCCAAAATTTCAAAATGTATACTTCTACAGTACTCTTGTGGTTTTCTCCAGTTAAGAGAACCAAAGCACCACTTTTAGTTATATGAAGTCTCTTTCTAAACTACTTAGTGAACTTATGAATCAGGTTGAGTTGAAAGTTACACAAAAATGATTAAGAGCAGTCCCAGGACAAGATTCAAATATTAGCTCTACACCTGAATATCTTATAAAATCTCTACTTTAGAAAGACTCCATACAAAGTTGCCCTGAAATGCTAGGTTTGGAGAAGAATCCCAATTTTAGTGTAAACAATGGGAAGACTTCAGAGTGGTAGCCATGTTAATCTGTATTAACAAAAACAACCAGGAGTCCTTGTGGCACCTTAGAGACTAACACATTTATTTGGGCATAAACTTTCGTGGGCTAGAACCCATAAATGGGAAGGTTGAAGCTAAATCCAGCAAAACAAATTACTTTGCTCTCATGAGACATGAGATTCCTACTTGATAGTTACGCTGAGAGACTGCTTTAAGGAGTTAAGGTGGCTGGCTTCAGTCACAAAGATGTGTGGCAAAACTGCTAGTGAATGATTCTCTGCTGCAGACACCGTGCTTCTGAGCTATGAAATAGCTCCATAGAAAGTCACATGAACACACAAAAAGCACTATGGCAGAAATGAAATAAAAGCAGCCTCTTTTCAATTGTAGTGTGTCCCTTGCTTAATGGCAGAATAAATTCCAGGAGCTGAATCTGGCACAAGTGCTAGGTTTTGGATATGAAGGACCTTGAAGCAAGTCTTGTATTTGCCCATTCTGCCATCATCCCGCTGCTCAGTTTAAACTGATAATTTTGATAGTGGTTCGCTATGTGTTCTATGTACATGTCTAATCTAAAAAGCAATGCAATATTTTTACCGGAACATCTTGGTACAACGTCATCCTGGCAGATAACTTCTGTTGTACTTTGAAACAAAGAGTTGGTAGCATAAGACAAATAGAGAATTAAAACTTGTTCTAAACTAATTCCCATGGATGGGAACAGCATCTGGATCCTGGAATCCTAACTATCTCAACCCATATACTACAGTTATAGCTCTAATAGGTTGGGGTGCAGATGGAGAATATTATGAGGTGAAGAATGGATAGTACAAAGATGTATGAATGTGGGGCTTTCTATAATCCCTACCAACTCGGGCCTTAACTCTGAGAAGGCTGAGAGGAGACACGATAACAGTTGTCAAGTACATAAAAGGTTGTTACAAGGAGGAGGAAAAAAAAAATGTTCTTCTTAACCACTGAGGATAAGATGAGAAGCAACGGGCTTAAATTGCCGCAAGGGAGGTTTAGGTTGGACATTAGGAAAACTTCCTAACTGATAGGGTGGTTAAGTACTGGAATAAATTGCCTAGGGAGGTTGTGGAATCTCCATCACTGGAGATTTTTAAGAGCAGGTTAGACAAACACCTGTCAGGGATGGATAATAGTCCTGCCACGAGTGCTGGAGGCTGGAGTAGATGACCCCTCGAAGTTCCCTCCAGTCCTATCATTCTATGATTCTGAAAATGGATTTTTGTTTTATTTCTGATCCTAAGTTTGGTATGATCAGCAAGAACATTATTTAGAGTGGACGATAATGCCTTACATGGAGTAGCTTTTTTAAATGGGGCTTCCAGAAAAACTAGTTTTTCAATTAACCCTTATCAGGATTTCAGTTTTCCCTTTAATATCTGAAACTTTCCAGAGGGATCTGCATGAATGTTTGAAAATTAAATAAATTTAGAATGGGATTTTTTTACAACCATGAAATCAGTCCCCTATGCGTAATTCATGATTGTACTGTTTCTCTGTATTCCCCTGCTCCCCACATCCATTCTGACTGCTTGATCTCTATTAGGTTTGGAAAACTTAATATTTAGACAGTATCAGAATAGACACTTCCCAGTAGCCCCCAGAAATATTCCATAACCTTTTTAAAGTGTTGATGGGGGCATTTTCAACAAAACAGATTTTTATTTCCAAAGTCATGTTTCTTAAGCTAGATAAAACCCAACTTCCGTATTCAGAAGTGTTACTGTTAAAGAAATGCCTTATGGGAAATGTAGTCTACTGTTTTTATTCTAATAGCTTGTTACGGTGTAAATACAACCACCCAAAAACTGGAAAAAGTCTTTCCTCTCCCTTTCCCTCCCCTCTCCAAGCATCCCTTAATCTCTTTCATTGGCGGGGTGTGTGTGTGTTCATGTGTTGTTTTGCTAGGGTCTCTCATGCATTGACTGAAGCAAAATGAGACAAAATTACCTTTCTGCTGAGAAATTCTCTAACCAAAGATGCAGCCACTTCTTCCACAAAAGAGTTATCCATTTTATTCCAAAACATACAGGGGTGTTCTTTACTTGATCAAAATTGGTCATTAAAATTTGCTGACTTCCTAGCTCTTCCGTACAGCCATTAACCACTGCATTCCTGAGGCAGACAGCTCAAATTGCAGCCTGCAGTACCCTCCTCTGTTGCGTTGTCATGGATTTGTTGCCATGGAGACTGTGTGTCATCAGAGATGGCCAGAGAACTCCTCCCCTCTGTGAGAAAGTAGATTTTTCATGCAGCTGAAAAGAGGTCTTGTGTTAACATTTAGCATGCAACTAGTGTGCATAATATTTCTATTAAAGTTCAATATATTGTAAACATCAGATTCCAAGAAAACCATTCTCAACTTGAGATCATAATACTCAAATCTCAGTTTACCCAAGATTTTCTAAATTATTTACTAACATATTTAATGAAAATTTGCCTGTTCATTTTAGTGAGCACTTTTCTAGATTCACATTTAAATGTCAGCATTGGCATTAGAGTTTAGAGGTAAGCTTACTATGTATGACAGTATGAAGCTATTAAAGTTCTTGGAGGCATCCTAAAGGAACAATATCATAGATACCAAGGCCAGAAGGCATGGCTGTGTTCATGTAGTCTGATCTTTTGTATAAAATAGGCCATAAGTCTTCCCCAAAATAATTCTTAGAGTCTAAATTTTAGAAAAAAACATTCAATCTTGATTTAATAATTGTCAGTGATGGGTAATCCCCCATGGTTCTTGGTAAATTGTTCCAGTGGTTAATTACCATTATTGGCAAAAATCTATGGCTTACTTGCAGGCTGAATGTATCTAGCTTCATTTCCAGCCATTGGAATAACTGTGCTTGACTGAAGGGCCCAGTATCAAATATTTGTTCCCCATGTAGATACTTAGACTGTAATCAAATTACCCTCTTAGCTTCTCTTTTTAAACTAAATAGATGGATATCTGAGTCTCTCATGTGGCATATTTTCTAATCCTTTGATCATTCTCATGCCTCTTCTCTGAACCCTCTCCAGTTTCTCAACATCCTTCTCGAATTGTGGGCACCAGAACTACTCACAGTAGTGTGGCAGCAGTCCCACCAGTGCCAAATACAGAGTAAAGAGATTGTTTGCAATCATATTGTAGCAGCAAATGATTCACTTTTCAAACACCAGCAACTAGTAAGATAATATGAAAGCTGAATTTTTCTACCTTGGCAGCTTCTGTTGAGGTGGGAGCATTTAGCAGTGGAAATACCCTTGTAAGACCTTAGTAAAACATGAACACTATATGTAGGCTGTTATACATTTTCTATTACAAATTCTGAGAAGAGTTTAAGGGAGTCAAATACAACATTTTTTCAGAGTTCATTGTAGAAAAAATGCATAATAAAACATTCATTAAGATGAATTTCAGAGTATCACAATGAAATCAAGGTTGGCATGCCACATTTTGCTGTCTCATGCAAGCCAAAAAATAACTTCCATTTCACTTTTCTGTTAAGGTACCTTTACTTGATGTGCTGCACATTATAATTGACTATGTACAGAGGGCCTCTTCCCTAAACAGATGGATTCTCTAGATCAGTGGTTCTCAACCAGAGATATGTGTACCTCTAGGGGTATGCAGAGGTCTTCCAAGGGGTTCATCAACTCATCTAGATATTTGCCTAGTTTTACAAAAGGCTACATAAAAAAGCACTAGCGAAGTTGGTACAAACTAAAATTTCATACAGACAATGACTTTATACTGCTCTAACTATGATATCTATATACACTAAAAACTGTGTTTAAAACAACAACAAAGAATTAGTGTCCAAAAACCACGGGGAAGACTTGCTGAAGCAAGAGGGGTCATAAGAACAGCCATACTGTGTCAGACCAAAGATCTATCTAGCCCAGTATCCTGTCTTCTGACACTTGGCCAACGCCAGGTGCCCCAGAGGGAATGAACAGAACAGGTAATCATCAAGTGATCCGTCCTCTGTCGCCCATTCCCAGCTTCTGGCAAACAGGCTAGGGACACCATCCTTGCCCATCCTGGCTAATAGCCATTGATGGACCTGCCCTCCATGAACTTATCTAGTTCTGTTTTGAACCCCGTTATAATCTTGGCCTTCACATCCTCCTACAGCAGGGAGTTCCACAGGTTGACTCTGCATTGTGTGAAAAGAATACTGTACTTCCTTTTGTTTGTTTTAAACCTGCTGTCTATTAATTTCATTTGGTGACCCCTAGTTTTTGTTATGAGAAGGAGTAAATAACACTTCCTTATTTACTTTCTTCATACCAATCATGATTTTATAGACCTCTATCATATCCCCCCCCTTAGTCGTCTCTTTTCCAAGCTGAAAAGTCCCACTTTTATTAATTGTTCCTCAAATGGAAGCCGTTCCATACCCCTAATCATTTCTGTAGCCCTTTTCTGAACCTTTTCCAATTCCAACCTTTTCCAGCATCCATCACGGGCAGTAAGAAGAAACTGAGAGGGTTCATGGCCATTGGTGTCCCTTATACTGGTGCATGAGCGTGTGGCTCCGGAGGGCACTATTGCCATCCCAGAAGATACCACTGAGGGAAAAATCTCCAGTAATGGTGCATGTGGCATGCACACACCTAATGTGGAATGGATGAGTAAGCACTCAAAGAAGAAACATCCTTACCCTGTCCTGTTATATCTTTCTTACTGCCTTGTGGATCAATGGAAAAGCATGTATCAAAGCTATTCCAAAGTGCAGAAAGAAAGGAAGGGTCTGATAGGGATACTAACACCGCCCACTCTGGAACAGAAGAGGCAACGCTTCTTGTTGGACCTCATTGTGAACAGAACCACAACTGGTTGACCCCAGCTGCAGGAGTTGGTCTGAACCAGCTTGTCCTTTAAGGACCATGTATGCATCTGAGTGCTGTTTCTCCTGAAATGATCTGCAAGTACATTGTTTTCCTCTGCCAAATCAAATATAGGGCCACAGGTTAACCATTGTGACAAATACAGCAGTCCCAGATACTTAGTGCCTCTGCATACAGGAGAGCACAGTGAGCCACCCAACTGCTTGCTGATGTAATTGTCTATCACTACCTGACTCCATACTGCTTTTGAAGTAGGTCCTATAATCCTGAACATGGGCATTTGCAAAGCTGATATGTTGGGGAGGAGCCTGCAGAAACCAGAGGAGAAGATGGGAGTAGACCTTGTCCTCTAGGAGTCCGTCTAGTAGCCATTTCCTTCTCCCTTGGCCCCTGCCTTCCCCATCTCCTGATTGAAAGAGTAGTAGACTTCTCCTTTGTTAGCTTTATTGATGTTTCTTTCCTGGAGCTCAGTGGAAGAAAATGGTCTATTTCTATGATCATAACCAGGAGGTTGCAGCTCTTTGTGCTTCTCTAAGTGGACCTGATGCAGAGCTGAAACACTAATAGATTGGAGCTGTTTAAAAGAGTGGGTCCATCGGGCATGGTATCTTGTTACGATTTTTAGCTGCCAACTTCTCAGAGACAAAACATCATTATCTCCAGCTTCTCTACCACCTTCTGGAAAAGCTCCCAAACTGGATCAGTATTTCTGTGGCTGCCTTCCTCCAGAGAGATGCAATGTGGTGTTGTGGGCTGAGCCAGAGGGGCTGCCACTAGCTGTTATGAGGCAATAGTTCTCAACCTATTTACTATTGTGGGCCACATATGCAGCTTACTGTGTTATGTGGGCCACATCCACACAATATATATACTACCTGTACATCGATTTTAAAAAACGAGGTTTTATTCAAATCAGCACAGTACCTTTCATTTCAACATTGACAAATGTCTACCACGGTCATTTTAAATTAGCAAAATAAGTCAAAACATTAATTGTTAACGTTAATTAATTTACTGCAAGGGTGGCATATAGCATGGTGTATTGCCACCTTGATTTCTGTGCTGCTACTGGCAGCGCGGCTGGGCTGAGCACCTGGAGAGTGCGGCTGTAAAGATGGGGAGTCCTGCCTGATGTGGGGCACCCTCACATCTGGTGTGGGCACCCAATCCCCCACCCAGGGAATGCTCCCCATCACCCTACCCCCCTGGGATTGTCCCCCCAATGTCCAGACCCCCCCCCCAAACACGTGTCTGGTTGCTCCCCAGGCAGGGTGGGCAGTACAGCTCAAAGCTATGTTCCTGACGCACTCTTGCCCCTGCCCAAAGTTGCTCAGTGGACACTTCCTGAAGTCAGACCCCTGCCTGTGGAGCCTGGCTGCCATGAGATGCTCCCCGAGGCACTCCCTGCAATACTCTTTTTATTAATATAACTAAATAATTTCTACTACACTATATATAATCTAAATGTAAATGTCAGACATAATTCCACATTGCAAGTTTGGGCAATCTGAACTGCAATGATGCACAGTTCAAATGATACTACATAGATACAATCCGCTATAGGTGGCCAGTTTGTAACAGCTCTGACAGCAGTGCTGACTTTCTACTTTAAGGTTCATATAGGAAAATTGCAATGAATAAACTTTCATTCACACACACACACACACACACAATACTACGACTACTACACTATGCTACGCTGTATAGTGTAATTTAATAGCAAGCTTACTTCCTCCGTTCGTTATTTGTCTCGCTGCCGTAGATGTTATGGGTGGAGCTGGTGCTGTTATGGCGCTGTGGCTGCTACAGCTGCTGGTGACGCGGCGGCTGCGGTGGGTGCTCTCTTCAGCAGTGTTCTCCGCAGGGTTCTAAACCGTCACTCTCTCCTCAGAACCCCTGAAGGTCGTCTCTCGCTCTCCATCCTTCCAGCAGCTCTTCTGCCTGCTCAGTCAGCTGTCCGATCTCTCTCTCAACGATCTCATTTGACTGCCTGATACACTGTTCTGTCAGCAGCGAGACCTTTACTGAGCATGCTCCAGATCTGACCCTTTAGTCTCACGTTTTACTTTTAGCCTATTTTTGCTCTGTGTGTGCCCAGCAGTTTTAATAACCTCCAGTAACCTTTAGCTTCTACTCTGTAGCCTTTCGTGACCCATATTTTCAGCTATGGGACCTTAAGTAACCTTTTGGTCTATAGCAATCTTTAGTTGTTTACCATTTTAACTTTCAGCTGGGCATGCTAAGCCCAGAGATACTTCGTGGCCGTACTTCGTTCTACTTGTAGCAATCATGTGCTCCACAACTTCCAATTGGTATACAGCCTTCAATTTTTCAAATGTGAAATGACACTTACTTATTTTAAAACGGAAGCTAGGGACCTAAGTTGGAGTTCATGGAATTTTTCCAGTATTCGGGGAAGGGGGGCAGGCTGAACACTCTGGCTGATGCTGCTGGGCCCAATCCTGCAGGTGGGCTGAGCACCCTTTGTTCAACTGACGCTGCCCCCAGCTTTGTGCCCTGGGTTCCTGTCCTGCTCGCCCCGCCCTAGTTACAGCCCTGGCAGAGGTCTTGTTTCTGGGGGAGGCGATCATGTGGTTCCATGTGACTTAATTAGGTTCCTGTGGGCCTGGAGGAGATGAAACATCTGGAGATGACGATATTACCCATGCTATAGTAGATGGCTTAAGCAGGGATTATCAAGATACAGGGTTCACAAAACCTTGTGTGCTGTACATATGGTACTGTACATGTGTGTCCAGAATGAGCTGGTCCCTTTGTCACAAATGGTACATTTTGGCAATGTTTATATGTGAAGACTTGATGTCCATGACTTATTTTTATTGCAATTCAGTGGGGGTAGTTGAGAGATTGATTACCTGTTTGGAGAGGAGTATCATAGCCTGTGACTTCAGTTGTTACCCAGATATTTCCACAGATGCTTCATCTCTTAGGACTGGCACTGTATCTTGAAAAGGCTGGGAAATACCATGACTCTGGATGGCCATACAGTGATGTGTAACCCTTGTACCAGATGTAATTAGCAGTAGTAAGGGGAGGCAGGTTCAACTGTTCCCTAGAGGTTCCATTAAAAAAAAATCTTGAAGTCCTCATCTAGAACTGCAATCCCATTTCTGGCTCTAAGAAATTAAAACATTAACCCTTATGGCCGCCTTTAATGGCACTTATCTCCCAAATTATATTGGAGGTACACAAAACCCAACTATAAATGTCCAGCTCCCCAAATGTCTGGCTCTCAGCAGAAATCACATCTGTGCTTCACCTGCAAATTCAGTCAACCCTGACCTCATGTGAACACAAGGCCTCCCTGATCTGGGGACTTCATCTGGCCTGCTGCTCAGCTCAGTTCTCAAGTCAGCTCTCATTCTGAGGGCTGCTACTGCTCCCATCTGGTTGGCTTGGGTTCCATGCTGCCTCTTATTAAATGGTGCTTCAAAGGGTATCTCTGTTCACCCAAAATAGTATTTCAAAAGGTATTCAATCCTCTTGACCACCTTGGAGCAGGCTACCCAAACTGGGCCCAATGCCTTTGAGATTAGGGTGGGCCACTGTCCACTGGTTAACCCCCATATGTTCTCATACTTTCTCTTCCTTCCGTATAACTTCAGTCACACAGCAAATGTATCACAATTCATACGTGTGACACATAGGGTGATTCCAGATTGTACATATGTGACCACTTTATGGGACTGTTGACATAATGTGCTAATGTATAAATGTCATCAGGTTGAAAGTCCATCAGTTTTACCCCATGGGAGAACCAAAGAGCAGCATATGCAAATAACCTTGGCAAGTGGGAACATTCAGATTCTCCCCCTGTACCTCTAGTGGAAATCACAGCTTCTGTTCAATAACTTACTTCCTGTCATTTATAAGTGAGCAAGAGGAATGAACCTGGTCCCTGCAGGCAGTTTCAGGTGCAATGTGAAAGATCCAGTTCCGAAAAAAGACTGTTGGAACACCACAGTTCCATATTACTCAGTGAAGTATCTGATCTACTTGCACAAGTGAGTAATGTTTCTGATGCTACAGTATTAACATTTTATAAATATGCATAAGCAATACAGACATCCGAATGAATAACAAATGCATGATTATAGCAAACATTTCTGCTTTTTTACCTTTTCAAACAAAGTTTTGCTTGAGAAGTTTCTTGAGGGTTTTTTTATTTGCCTGATCTTGAGGATTGGCTGTCATGCATGCATCTTTCTTCTGTGCCATGTTCTCATTTGGTACACCTGGGCCTGCTCTGGGAAAGCAATCTCAGATGGATGGTATCTTTATAATAACACCCAAGATGTACTAAGTACTTCCCATACATTCAAGGACAGTTCCTGTCCCAAGTAATTCCAACTCTAAGAATAGATAAAACTGGAGAGAAGTTAGGGGATGTGGGAACAACAATTAAGTCAACTTATTTAAAGGTTGACATGGTGGAGGGTGGAGGTCTAAGTGGGTTTGCTTCACTGGTATGGGAATACACTATATGACAAGTAATGCACATTAAAGGAACTTTCCTCGGGCTGAACAGGAAATTAGTAATACCAACTAAGTTACAGCAGAAAGGATCCAAAGAGGGAACCAATAATGAAGCATTCCTGAAACCCTGTTAACAAATCTTCACTGCAAGCTAGTCCTTGGTCTGGAGTGGCACTGCCTTGCAAGCCTCGCGCTCTTGAAAGGCAAAGACCTGCATATTCAAAATCAAACATGGACATGGTAACAATTTCACTCTCAAGGTTTGAAAATTAGTCTAATTAAACACTACTTATGTTTCAAGAATCTATTGATTTGAATTTGTATTACCAAAAAAAGACCTTGAACATTTGTTTAATTGCAATAGTTTATAAAAACAACAGGTGGCAGCATCAGTCTACGTAAAAGTCTTTTACTTTTAACTTTCTCCTGCCACCTTTCGGATCTTTCACTGTAGGTATCCTAGAGATGAGTTTACAGGATGACACATCCACTCTTTTTTTTACTAAACTTTCTAAACTTACCTGTGCTGCATTATCTGAACAGACTGTAGCAGGGAATAACATATGTTGCCAGACATACTTTCAATTGTGAATGTGACTTGACCTTTTTGATATTCTATTCTCCAAAAAGTTTCAGTAGTAGCCTAGTGATCAGATTATTACTGAAAGTCTAAAGATTGGTTCCCACTTCTAATTTGAGATTAGTTTGGTGTTACCTCAAAACTCTGCAACAGATAAATAAGACTAAGGTTCGGACCCAGATAAATATCTCTATCACTTTTTAAAACCCACAAGGTAAGTAAAAACAACCCAGTGTAAAGATAGATTTACTAAGATTTATTAAAATTAAACAAATTAACAAAGGCAGTAGAATAATAGCTCAGAGGTTTGACCCAAAAGGGCATAAAGCCCGGCTCCCTTCTGCCCTTAGCAAGCTGTGGGAACTCCTTTACTTGGAGGAGATGACTTTCACTGGCAGCTCGGATGGAAAGGCAGACAGCTGGTCTTGACTGCGGACTAGTGCGGCGGTAGCTGGATTCTGGACCTGTAACTGCCTTAGATGGGATGACAGGAGGGACATGGACTGAAGCTGGATCAGGATACCACGCAATGGTCTTCAGGTAGGTATTTCATGAAGAATCTTGCCTCTCAACATGCGTGCAGAAGAACTAGGTATGGGCTGCCTCTGTGATGGACAGCCCCTGGTGCTGAATGCACTGGCTTTTAAATAAACTTGGGCACATGCCTTTTTCCCACACTTTTCTTCCCACCATTAGGAGAAAAGGCGTCAAGCACCCAACCAAAAGGACCCACAAAATGGAGTCCAAACAACAACTTGACCATGACCATCGACAAAACGGTTACTCACCTTTTGTAACTGTTGTTCTTTGAGATGTGTTGCTCATATCTATTCCAATTAGGTGTGTGCGCGCACTGCATGCACGGCTGTCAGAAACTTTTTCCCTCGCAGCTACACGTTGGGCCTGCTGTGGAGCCCCCTAGAGTGGTGCCAATATGGCGCTCTGTATACGACCCTGCCGCCCCAACCCCCCTTCAGTTCCTTCTCGCCAGCTACTCCAACAGAGGGAAAGGTCGGCGGGAATGGAATAGATATGAGCAGTCTTGAAGAATAACAGTTACAAAAGGTGAGTAACCATTTATTCTTCGAGTGCTTGCTCATATCCATTCAAGTTAGGTGACTCCCAAGCCCTATCTAGGAGGTGGGGTCTGAGTCAAGGTATTGCTGACCGAAGTACCGCTCTACTGAAGGCCGCATCGTTCCTAGATTGTGGATGATGGCGTAGTGCAACGTGAAAGTATGCACAGAAGACCAAGTCACAGCCTTGCAGATTTCCTGGAGAGGTACTTGGGCTAGAAAGGCTGCCGACGAGGCCTGTGCCCTCGTGGAATGAGCTGTGATAGTAGGTGGAGGAATCTTTGCCAAGTCATAACAGGTGCAGATACAAGCTGTGACCCAGGAGGAGATCTGCTGGGAAGAGACTGGTAATCCCTTCATCTGCTCTGTTAAAGCAACGAACAACTGGGTTGTCTTTCGGAACGGCTTTGTGCACTCGATGTAGAAAGCGAGCGCTCTCCTGACATCCAGTGAGTGCAGCTTTTGTTTTTGAGGGCTGTTGTGTGGTTTTGGGTAAAAGACAAGCAGGAAGATGTGCTGGCTAATATGGAAATGGGACACCACCTTGGGAAGGAAAGCTGGATGAGGTCTAAGTTGTACCTTGTCTTTATGAAAAATCACGTGGCTCAGAGGTGAGGGCCCGCAGCTCAGACACATGTCGTGCTGAGGTGATAGCCACCAGAAAAGCTACTTTCCAAGAGCAGTAAAGGAGTGAACAGGAAGCTATGGGTTCAAAGGGAGTACCCATGAGCCAGGAGAGGACTAGGTTAAGGTCCCAAGCCAGGATGGGGTGCTTTATTGGGGGATATATCTTCTCCGGGCCTTTCAGGAAATGACCCACAATGGGATTAGCGAACAGCGAATGCCCA